ATAGGAAGCCTGGCTGATTCTCCAGCATATTGAAAGGGAGCAAATTCCTGCCTTACTTTTAACATATTGCTGGGAAGTCTTTGCAGCAGAAATAATGAGGGGTGAGAATTCATTGTGTGAAAGGGAAACTGGATTAAACTGAAACTTAAGGTCCAATTCATACAAAAATTTTGACATGGTGCTAAGATGAGTTCAGTTGCGGGACACAGGGACCATTCTTTAAGGATATACGAATCAGTTTCACTTGACCTGCATCATTTATCCATGTATTCATCCTTAAATCCATTCCATTATGTTTCCACATTAATCCATGAATTGCTTTTTTAAAGAAAAAATAAATAAATTAGATATACATTTAAACATTTCTAAACACATTTTCTCTCAAAATGCACATTTTAAATCTATTTTGAGATGTTATTATAACGATTAGTCAAGAACTATACTGGAACATTTAAAAAGTGCAAAATCTAATAGCTAAATTCTCTTCACACATTAGTCCAGAAGATGCAGATCAAGCATCTTTGTGAGAATTCACAAAGATTTAATTCTTCAACTCCTCCTTACTGATCATGCTGCAGCAGGTTGGCCTGGTTTGCACACCATACGAAGCCAAACTTTGTTTCCTGCTTCTTTGCTGCACCTTGCTGTTAGTGAGGAAAGAGATTTACAATGAATCCAGGATTGGATGACACTCTAAACAAAATCTTGGCTTAGCTGAACAACACGGGGAGGAGCAAAGCCTGGTCAGCCTGATCATAATAAATAAATAATAATAAATTTTATTTGCACTCTGCCCTCCCCGGCCAGAGCTGGGCTCAGAGCGGCTAACATCATATAAATAACACAGTATAAATAAAAACAGGTATCAATTAAATAAAATACATCTTAAAATTAATTCAGACAAATTAAAATCTGGACAAATGGCAGTTATAAGGTTAAGATTGAGAGCGGTTAGTACTTGCCAGGACCAACTGTTTTCACTGATCATGTAAGGACCTGTGAACAGGCTGGGAGGCCTCCTTCATGCTTGTTCTTATATTGTACAAAGGAAAATAGGTCAGACTGACCCCTGGCCAAAGGCCTGGCGGAACAGCTCCGTCTTGCAGGCCCTGAGGAAAGATGTCAAATCCCTCAGGGCCTTAGTCTCTTGTGGGAGAGCGTTCCACAAGGCCGGGGCCACGACCGAAAAGGCCCTGGATCTGGTCGAGGCCAGTCTCATTTCCCTGGGGCCCAGGAACTTCAGAGTGTTGTTGTTTGCAGACCGTAAGGTCTTCCGTGGGGTATACCAGGAGAGGCTGTCCCATAGGTACGAGGGTCCTAGGAAGCATAATGCAGCGTGCACATAGCCAGTGTCTCTTTACCTCCTGCAACAGTTCAGATTTTGATGGATGCCAAACTACAGCGAACCTCAACGTTGCCACAAGAAGAAGAAGAAGAAGAAGAGTTTGGATTTGATATCCCGACTTTCACTCCCCTTCAGGAGTCTCAAAGCGGCTAACATTCTCCTTTCCCTTCCTCCCCCACAACAAACACTCTGTGAGGTGAGTGGGGCTGAGAGACTTCAGAGAAGTGTGACTAGCCCAAGGTCACCCAGCAGCTGCATGTGGAGGAGCGGAGACACGAACCCGGTTCCCCAGATTACAAGTCTACCGCTCTTAACCACTACACCACACTGGCGGAATATATGTTAAAACATTCAAAAGACTAGTCAATACCACTCACAAAAGTTAGTGCAGAGCCACTTCAGCCCATAACAATGACTATATGAAGCAACTTCCTCCTAAGTGGCTTCCTTTTCTTCTCATAGCCCCAAAGAGCTTCTAAGAAGGAAGGTGCAATCTAGTGGGTGCTGTTGCATCACTTCGTGACATGCAATGATCAATTTCTAGGAGTTTGCACAAAGTTTCCATGGAAATGAATGGAGTTTGCATACCAAGGATGGGGACTTCCTGGCCTTCCAGATGTTGTTGGAATCCAATTCCTATTGGCCCCAGCCAGGCTGACCAGTGATCAGGGTTGATGAGAGTTGGAGTCCATCTACAGCAGGCTTCCTCAATCTTGGCCCTCCAGATGTTTTAAGACTACAATTCCCATCATTCCTGACCACTAGTCCTGCTAACTAGGAATCATGGGAGTTGTAGGCCAAAAACATCTGGAGGGCTGAGTTTGAGGAAGCCTGATCTACGGGCTCCCCGCTCCTGTTGTGCAGGCACAGTAGCAGAGCCTGCAAGACTGTGCCCTCAGCTTCCAGCCCTGGTGTGTATCTCGCAGCTTGTTTCTCTCCCTTTCCTTCTTTATACATCAAGTTCTGACAATTGCAAGTGGAAGCTTTCCAGGATAAATAACTTTATCTTGACAAAACCCCTGGTGGCACCCCATGGCAATTCATTATTTTTCAATTAAATTTACCATTTGCTGGCAGCTGCCCTGTTTTAATTTTCTGCTGTTTGTTTACCGAACAAGGAAACACATAACATAAAGCTCTATAAAAGTCAGATTGAGTTAATTAAATGAGGTACTGGGAAGTCCTAACTCAACCTCAAGAGGACGTCGATCACTGGATCTCCTGAAAAATGTATCTTTTCTGGGGATTTATTCTTCACATTTGCTGTGCCGTAATTAATTTGGAGTATTGCCCTCCCTTTCCCTCAATGCTGTGCTTGTCTCACATACAGCCTATCTACGGGAGTTTATATAAGAGGATTGTTTTAAAAAAGAAGACGGGCCTCAAAGCTATATAGGAAAAAAATAGAGAGGGGCAAAAAGATTGTGTAATAAACAAAGGTGAAGAAAACTCGTGGTTTGTGGTAGAGCACATGCTTTGCAATGCATGGGCAAGGCGCTAGATGCTTTCCAGTTAAAAGGATCTCATATAAGCAGAGGCCCTCTGCCTGAGACCCGGAGAACTGCTATCAATCAGAGTGGGCAATACTGGATGCAATGGCTATTGGTTTGAATCAAGCCCAAACTGAATGCAGCACCATTCACACCATTCGCAAGTGCAACACCTTTGACATGGCAGGGGTGGTGGCCCAAGGTGTTGTGCATAGTGCTGATAGCAAAGCTAATGCAGTGTAACAGAGTCTTTTGGGGCAGAACACCTTAATTCTGGAGTAAAAGTTTATTTTCTTAAATATCAGCCATTCCACCTTTTAATATGTTGTTGCCCTGGGAGGAATTATTTGCGGGTGGGCTGTTGTTGCTTTGTTGTTAATATGAAACACTCAGTATAACATTAATGATTTTTAAAAAAAACAAAAACCAGTTGCACAAATAGTATTTTTTAAAAAATGAATTTCAGGCATGGTGGAGAGGAGCTTGGGGGAGCTTTAAACTTTTGGTTTCCAGTGCAGTCCCAGACCAGAATGGGGACCCTCCTGCCTGCCATTTACTCTTGAAAAGCCATGCACAATGACTAATTGCATCAATGGCGATCCATCATGATTCTCGGTATAAGGCAACTTCATATGATTCTTCTTATGAGATGATAAGCTGTCCCAACACCATGCAGGTCAGCTGCAGTGACACTGATACTTGGGAGAGCAGCTCTGCAGTGTTGATCCACCGCACCAGCCATGACCACTTACTGCTGCATGGTTCTTGAAGTTACCATAAAGCCAAATGACTAAAGTAATTGTAAAGCCAAATCTGTACAATATATGTTCTTCTCCAGAAAGTGGAGAGGGGGGTGTCTCAACAAGCACTCACTTGCTCATTAATATTGTAGAACAGAGATGGGTAAATTGTGGACTTGGTTTCAGAACTGAACCACCAAACTTTGATTCAATTCAAGAGGAGAGTCCTTGAATATACAGTGGTACCTTGGGTTACATACGCTTCAGGTTACATACGCTTCAGGTTGCATACGCTTCAGGTTACAGACTCCGCTAACCCAGATATAGTACCTCGGGTTAAGAACTTTGCTTCAAGATGAGAACAGAAATTGTGCTCCGGCAGCGCAGCAGCAGCAGGAGGCCCCATTAGCTAAAGTGGTGCTTCAGGTTAAGAACAGTTTCAGGTTAAGAACAGACCTCCGGAACGAATTAAGTACTTAACCCGAGGTACCACTGTATAGAGAGGCAGCCAGGTTCCTCTTAAATCCTTTCAGCCATTAAAAAAATATATCATTGCCTGCCAATATTCCAAGTGATATTAGAGCTCCAACTAAACAGTGATGCTGAGGGTCACCCTTATCTTGAATACTTTCTAGTAGTGAGCAGTTGTAGAGCCACTGGTTTTTAAAATTGCATGTGTATGCCTTCAGCAGAACCCATTGGATATGCAGGCATTCAGCCTTCCACCCTTCATGGATTGTCTACACCAGGCATGGCCAAACTTGGCACTCTAGCTGTTTTGGGACTACAGTCCCCATCATCCCTGACCACTGGTCCTGTTAGCTAGGGATGATGGGAGTTGTAGTCCCAAAACAGCTGGAGGGCCAAGTTTGGCCATGCCTGGTCTAGACCTAGATCAGGCCATGCCCCTGAAAACAGGATTTGTCATCATTTCAGATCCTCTCTGGTCTATCTCCTGGACCACTTCTCTAGAATCTTGCACAGTTGCCTTTACTGTATAGGGCTTTACAAATGAGCACATGGCATATAACATGGACTCTAAAGCACAATACTCCAACTTTATGATTGTGTGATGTTTTAGAGTTTAGAACATAATACAATGCTGACACAATGGGTCATGACTTCAGTAGTGTTGGGGCTGCTTGTGCTAGATGTGACATCATGCTTCTTCCTGTTCCTCACACAGGAACAGAGGAGAAGCGCAACTGCAATAAGAACCATATGCATGACCCAGATATTAGTCTGCCCCATCTTATGATTCTGGTGCAGTTCAGCTGGTGTATCCAGATAAGAGGCTGCCAACAAAGAAGCCAAACATGTGAGAGCAATTTGCCCGTGTATTATTTCATGTGGTCAGCTTCGCATTTAAACCAGACTCTCAGCTGTTTATGCATGCAGCATGAGCATGTCAGTGTGGCACTTGTCCAGGACGCAGAACCCTGGTGAGCTGATTTGGTCTGAACAAGGCACCAGCTGTGTGGAATGCCAGACCGGTAAGTTTGGTTTTGTATGTGCCTGGTGTCATTTTTCAGTTGGGCTAACACTGCACAGCAATTTAGACAAGCAGACCCTATTTCCATGCAAGTCAGGGGCTGACATGGGATGGAACACACACACACACACACACCAAAAGAGAAGTACTGTTGTAGAGGGATGTGCTGCTCTTCTCATACTATGCTCCAGTAGGCATGAGGGAAAAGCAAGACAATAGCTTTCCATATTTTCCTTTTTTCCCCCTTAGAATTCATTGATAAACATTAATGTTATTAACCATAACTAAACAAGTGCTTCTTATTTTTTTCCCACAAGTGAAACCTTAAAAAAATAAAATAAAATAGTTTACAATGTGAAACATACATTCCTTGGAATGTATATTTGATTTAAAAATAGTTCTCTTCCATATTTCTCTACTTTTTAAAGCAACACAGAACAGAAAAGGTATCTGAGAGAAGCTCAAGAGTTACTTTAATGTGCTAAAAACACACACAATTTAAACTTTCTGTTCATTGAATGTTCATCCTGATTTGTTTGCACAAAGTTTGTGGGGAGGTTAGACGATGCAAGCTATTTACTGAGTATTCATTCTGATTATTTGGCAGGGAGGATAAGACAGCCTGGAAGCACTCTAAGGTGCCCTGGTACTTTCTGTGTACTTGCAACTACAGTCATACCTCGGGTTAAATGTGCTTCAGGTTGAGCGTTTTCAAGTTACGCTCCGCGGCGACCCGGAAGTAATGGAGCACGTTACTTCCGGATTTTGCTGCTCGTGCATGCGCAGATGCTCAAAATGACGTCACGCGCATGCGCAGAAGTGGCAAAACGCGACCCGCGCACACGCAGACGCGCAATCTCGTCTTATGTTCTACTCAAGATGCGAACGGGGCTCTGGAACGGATCCTGTTCACATCCAGAGGTATCACTGTATAGACCAAAACTAGTATCACAGCTAGAATAATTTCCTAAATTGATTAGTGTTCAGTGTTCAGATATTACATTAGCAGCTGTGTGGAATAAATGCAGTTGCAATTTTTAGAAAGCAGTAATAGGCAAACACATGCACACACGTACACCCACTCTACCCAAAAGCATTCTGCCTGTTCAGTCTGCAGCTCTTTTCCTAACACCTGCCAGAATCTGACACAGCTTCAGTAGTCTCTCCTGTGTCAAGCTGTCAGGTGTTGTGTGGTGTTAGAAAAAGAACATGTCAGAAAGTTCTGGTTTCAAAAGCAGCCTCCTGACTTACTGTTGTGATCCCACATTTGTGCATGTAACAAAACAGCAGTGGAAGTCAACAATATTTTACAGACTTCTTTTATTTAGAACATTTATGAACAGTCTTTCTGAGCACACAGAATGTGCGCAATTCAAAGCTAAAAGCAAACTTAAACAAACAAGCATTTTAAAAGCAGAAGGGAAGTCCACAAAAACATCAACATAAAAATCACCAAAGAGCATGAGCATTTCAAGGTTCACAAAAACACAAGGATTTAAAAACCACCATCAGATTAAGGGTACTTCCAGACTGTGAATATTTTGCGGGAAGCATGCATGTGTGTATTGTAAATTTAGGTTTATGCATTTTAAGTGCTCTGGTTAATGTGCTCTGTCACCCTACCTCAACGAATCTACTTTTTTTGCAGTTTGGAAAGTGATGGGGAAATGCACTGAAAAGTGTGAGCAAATAATGAGAAGACATGTAAACACCTCACAAGCAAATCAGGATAAATGCAAGAAGGAGGCTCATTCTCATATAACTGCCTTTGAAACAAATCAGTACAAATAGTCAATAAAGACCACACATAGTCTAACTACCCTGTAAGCTTTATACAAGCAAAATCAGGATGAATGCAGAATAAACAGGTTATCCGGAGAAGCCCCAAAACTAAGCTGCTGACAATAGAGAGATCAATTAAAAAACAATTGCTTTCATTTCGTTTCCTGCCATGCTCATAACTATTTCTGGTACAAAAGGGGGAAAACCAAACTTGCTCCTCATATACAAATTCAAGTACTTGTGAGTGTGGACTACTCTGAAGTCATTTGAATAGCGGGGAAGGGGATTAACAGCTAAATAATGCTCAAATGGTAGAAAGCCCCCAAAGGGCAACAACTGGGGTTCCATTTGCAAACCATTCCAAAGGGAGGTCTCAATTACTGAAAATACTCTCTGCTATGTATTCCTGCAGACTTCAACTCCTCAAATGAAGAACTGGGCTTCACTGAGATAGGGTTTGGCACTTAAAGCAGGCTATCAAATATAGCCCCAAGATTGAGACCCGTGGTTCATCTGTGGGTTTTTTTTTTCTCTAAACAGATGTCCAAGATTTTTGGACAGAACATTTTTCAGCCCTGCAAAAACCAAATATATTTTACATTGTAAGAACTGGCTTGATTCACAGTCCTCTGAGCAAGTGGGTGTAAAGGTACGCACACAAAGGAAGAATAAGAGTGTTGCATTCAGAATATCAAAAGGCAGCGCTGGCCCAAATCTTGTCCAAATGTGTACAGTACTTCATTATAGATAAGAATGCTGTGAAGAGCAGAACATTAGTCATAGGAGCTTGGCTGCAGCTCTGTGCTGCTGGGAGCAAGTAGAAATTGACTCATACTGCTTTGAGGAACAGGATGGCTCAATAGGACCTGGCAGAGGAATGGAGGGAAGCACCAAGTTTCATATCTGGGAAGGCAGTGAGAGAATGCAAGCAAATAATGTACTTCCCTGTAGACCTGGAGCAAGGAACCTAGATAACTCCAGGTGTTGTGGGACTACCTGAACACCCTGAACTCACATGTCTTATACACAGAAGAGCTATAATAAACAATTGTGTGAACTTCTTTGGACATGCAGGGAGTATCTTCCAATCCTTTAGGAAGGCATAGGAACTTCTGAAACTAATTCATCTCATATTGTTCTGAAACTACTTTCCAAACCCCTAAATGCACAGGTGCCTTCCTACCTATGTGGTCCACAGCCTAGGTAAAGTCAAATTTATAATGATGATGATGATGATGATGATGATAATGATGATGATGATTTATTCAATTTATATCCCACCCAAAGGAAGCCAGGGTGGCAAACAACAAAACAGCACAATAATACCTTTTTAAAAAATCAAAAGCATTTAAAACACTAACAGCTCACTTTATCTGAAGAAGAAGAAGAAGAAGAAGAAGAAGAAGAAGAAGAGGAGGAGGAGGAGGAGGAGGAGGAGGAGTTTGGATTTGATATCCCGCTTTATCGCTACGCTAAGGAGTCTCAAACAGCTAACATTCTCCTTTCCCTTCCTCCCCCACAACAAACACTCTGTGAGGTGAGTGAGGCTGAGAGACTTCAGGGAAGTGTGACTGGCCCAAGGTCACCCAGCAGCTGCATGTGGAGGAGCGGGGAAGTGAACCCGGTTCACCAGATTATGAGTCCACTGCTCTTAACCACTACACCACACTGGCTTACAACACACAGTGCAACAATCTTGGTGAAACTAAGCTCAGGTCTAGTTGAATAGGAGACCACTTGGGAAACAAATGCACCACCACCTTGAGTTCCATGATGGAAGAAAGATACACAGAAGTAAGCAAACATCTTGCTTTTGCTTCTGTACATAAACAAACAGGATATCTAGGATGACCAAAGAATCTTCTGGTACCTGGAATTCCACAAGAGCATGAATTTTTACTAAGTCAAAAGAGCAGAACAGTTTAATTTTGTCACATGCCAAATATAGAAATAAATACCCGTCAAGCCACAGTATCTCTAAACTAGTGGATTAGGTACCAGTACCACCTAGATGTAAATTTGAGTTTTCCTAAGATTGGAGTAAATGGGACTGGGATAGGCTATATTTCTTTGGGGCTCTTCCTTTTCTTGAGCCAAGTCCCAATTTTTCATATATATTGCACCTTTCAACCTGGAACTTAAGATCTTATACAAATGGGATCTCTGGAAATTTGTGTACACCGCTTTTTAAAAAAAACTAGTGAGTTCCATAGTAATTTGTTTAGGACTGCTTTGTTCCCAAGGAAAGGATGTTTAAAATGTTTGTTTTTTAAAAAGGAGAGCAAAGGAGTCCTGTCCTCTGATCTTCATAGCCACGCTGCAAAGAGTTACAACAGAGCTCCAGAGAGTTGATGATGTACATTCCTAGCACTAACCCACAAGCAATAGTAAAAATTAGTGGTGGGTAAAGATAAGCTCCTTGATTACTCTCCTTCATTCTCTTGTAACTCTTCAGCTGATGCTTTGCATGCAGGAATGTTTCACTGCTGCCAATTGAAGGCATCTTTCAAGCAGAACCCATAACCAGCTTTCAGCGTTCGACAGAGTTGATACTCAATTAACTGATTAACCCAAAGGGAATTGAAAATGAAGGGGCAATCTTTCAACTTCTAAGGCATCTTCCTGTAAATATTCCATGCACATTTAATAAGACAGATTTATACATCATTTAATTATTCATTGATAGTTAAAAGAAGCTGTGTATGGCAAGCAAATCACAAATGGGCACCTGCATCGCACCCACTCATTATATTGAATTCTGACACACCTGATAAGCAAGGGAACATTATATTTATTGAACAACCTCATTCAGGAAAACTAAAAGAGAAAAAGGACATTGACAGTTTTATGGGGCAGTTTTCTACCCCAGTGTAGAAAGAGGAGCATGTGTTTTATGAGGAGAAAAGAACCATTCCCCTCTTTTTTTGTGGGTTGTTTTTTTGTGTGTGTATACACATTTAACTAAGAAAGTGACATAGACAGTTTTGGGCATACAGTATATTTGACCCCATGCTAAATAAAATGTCTCATGGTGGTAACATGTCCCAGAATAAAGGCAAATGTCAGCAAAAAGGGGCTCTTACCTGCTGGTTTTATTGGGATGTTTTCCGTTTTAGGCACTTTTAGCTTACAGAAAGAAAACTGTAAATGGTTAAGCGGGTTAAATGTGAGTACATTGTTTGCTGCCATGAAGATGACAATAAATTACACAGTCTCCTTCTGTGCAAATTCTGCAGCAGGAAGTGTACCCAAGTTCAGTTTCAATCCTATATTTCATAAGAAAATATTTCAAAGGGAGATCCACTGGATATTAAAGGAAATAGTAAATAAATATGAGTCTAGTTGCTAATGTTTTGCTTCCAGGAGAACCACAAAAAAACAGATGAAGTGTGGTGTAAGATAAGAGGAGCACTGTATGGTTTGATTTCTGTAGCTGATTTCAGGCAAAAAGCCAGAGCTATTTCCCAACATAAACGGCTTTCATGGCCAAACTTGTCATTACATGCAGATGCGTGTAACATTACCCACTTTTTAAGAAAGAAAGAAAAATCAGGAAAGTTGTTTCTGGAGGGTTGAATGTGATTGGAGAATCTGTGGAGCAAGGGAATGCTTAAGCCTTTCCCTGGCCACAGATTCTCCACCTTATTTTCCAGTGGACTTTCCTCCCACAGATTTAGAGATGCATGTTTTCCCACATTTGAAACTGAGTGGAAAGGCCACTTGAGGGTGGAGGTGAAACTGCTAGATTGGACATGGAAAGGTTTGTGCATCCCCTCCCTCCTGCCATGTGCTCTCAATTGCCCCCCTTTGAAAGCAGTTCTAAAAGGGCCAGAGGGCAGGGTTACTTGTACTGCACTGCAGGCAATGTATCATATAACACTGGTTCTGAAAGACCTACGTTTCCGAGCACAATTCAAAGTGTTGGTGCTGACCTTTAAAGCCCTAAACAGCCTCGGCCCAGTATACCTGAAGGAGGATCTCCACCCCCATCGTTCAGCCTGGACACTGAGGTCCAGCTCCAAGGGCCTTCTGGTGATTCCCTCATTGCAAGAAGTGAGGTTACAGGGAACCAGGCAGAGGGACTTCTCAGTAGTGGCACCCACCCTGTGGAATGCCCTCCCGTCAGATGTCAAGGAAATAAACAACTATCTGACTTTTAGAAGACATCTGAAGGCAACCCTGTATTGGGGGGGGATGTCTAATGTTTTGCAATTTTTTATGTGCTGGAAGCCTCCCAGAGCAGTTGGGGAAACCAAGCCAGGTGGGCAGAGTATAAATAAAAAAATTTAATAATAATAATAATAGGCCTGCAGGTATCTTCCTACTCATTCCCAATTCAACGTGAACTGCACTGCTGCTGTTTCCCATTCTCACTATTTTGATGAAATATGCATGGAAGCAGACAGATTAGCAAGGCATACCACATTCTGATAAATGGCCAATGTTCTGTGTTTCCAGCATTGTCCACCAACTTGCCTCTACCATTTCTGAACATCATGATCTTACCTAGGCTAAAGTATTACACAGTAAAATTCCATGTTTTGTAGAGTCTCCTTCTACAAAGAGATAAACCAGTAGCGGGAAACAAATCTGCTCAATGCCACCATCAATAGTAGAGACCAGCAGGCAGGAAGGTTGGATTGTCTTCTCCAAAATTTGGCAGTAGTTAACTTGTTCTCACACAGGGCAGCACTGAAAACCAGGATTGGAGGTGGTGTGTTTTCACAGCAAAGCTCCAGCCTCCCTCCCAGCATCTCTATGTAGGCTCTGTCTTCCCTCCTCACTCAGTTCTATTCCAAATATTATTTCTTTCAACTTTCTTTTCTTTTAAAGAGTTACAAAAATAGGAATTTGCCTGCAGCATTGAATTTGTGTGTGTTTGATAGCTCTTCTTTCAGTTATCTCTGCTAGAAAACTTATTCACTTAAATGGGTTTATTGGTTTCCATGTTTAAAATATTTATCTCCCAACATATTTTTAAGAGTAAATGCCTTAAAATCCTAGATGTCTTTTGCAATGTATGTACTAAAGTTTAAGGGGGAAATTAATGTTTTTTGCCTTTTATGTTTCTTTGGCTGAGTTTGTTTGTTTACTTACTTACTTACTTACTTACTTACTTACTTACTTTT